TTTTTTTTTTTTTTTTTTGATACCATTGATTTATGCTCTAATCTTTATTATTTCCCATCTTCTGCTGGCTTGGGGTTTTATTTGCTGTTCTTTCTCCAGCTCTTCAACGTGCAAGGTTAAGTTGTGTATCTGAGACCTTTCTTCCTTCTTTAGGAAGGCCTGGATTACCATATACTTCCCTCTTATGACTGCCTTTGCAGTTTGGGGCTGTGGTGTTATCATTTTCATTGGCTTCCATGTACTTTTTAGTTTCCTCTTTAGCTTTTTGGCTAACTCATTCATTCTTTAGTAGGATGTTCTTCAGTTTCCAAGTATTCATGGTCTTTCCAAAATTTTTCTTGTGATTGATTTCTAGTTTCACAGTGTTCTGGTCTGAAAATATGCATGGTATCATCTGGATCTTTTTGTACTTGTTGAGGGCTGATTTGTGTCCCTGTATGTGATCTATTCTGGAGAATGTTCCATGTGCTCTAGAGAAGAATGTGTATTCTGCTGCTTTAGGATAAGTCCGGTCCAGTGTGTCATTGTTTCCTTATTGATTTTCTGCTTAGATGATCTGTCCGTTGTTGTAAGTGAAGTATTGTAGTCCTCTACTATTATGGTATTATTTCAGTGAGTTTCTTTATGTTTGTGATTAGTTGATTTATATATTTTGGTGCATTTATTTATGTTGGGGCATAAATATTTACAATTGTTAGGTCTTCGTGGTGAGTAGATCCCTTAATTATGATATAATGCCCTTCTTCATCTCTAGTTACACTCTTGATTTTAAAACCTAATTTGTCTGATATAAGTATGGGTACTCCAGCTTTCTTTTGATGACTGTTAGCATGATAGATGGTTCTCCATCCCCTTACTTTCAATCTGAAGGTGTTCTTATGTCTAAAATGGGTCTCTCATAAACAGCATATAGATGGATCTTATTTTCTTATCCATTCTTTTACCCTGTCTCTTTTTATTGGAGTGTTTAATCCCTTTACATTTAGGGTGAGTACTGAAAGATATGAACATATTACCATTGTATTGCCTCTAGAGTTGGAGTTTCTGGTGGTATTCTCTGGTCCTTTCTAGTCTTTGTTGCTTTGGGTCGTTTTTGTTTTATTTTATCTTTTCTCCCCTCAGAGAGTCCCTCTTAAAATTTCTTGCAGGGCTGGTTTAGTGGTCACAAACTCCTTTAGTTTTTGTTTGTCTGAGAAACTCTCTCTCCTTCTATTTTGAATGGCAGTCTTGCTGGATAAAGAATTCTTGGCTGCATAATTTTCTGATTCAGCATGTTGAATATATCCTGCCATTCCTTTATGACCTGCCAAGTTTCTGTTGATAGGTCTGTTGCAAACCTGAGCTGTCTGCCCATATAGGGTTAAGGAGTTTTTTCCCCTTGCTGCTTTCATCATTCTTTTCTTGTCTGTGTATTTTATGAATTTGACTTTGATTGCCTTGTTGATGGTTGGTTTTTGTTGAATCTAATGGGAGTTCTCTGTGCTTCCTAGATTTTGATGTCTTTTTTTCCCCCAGGTTAGGAACGTTTTCTGCTATGATTTGCTCACATAAACCTTCTACGCATTTTTATCTCTCTTCAGTTTCTGGGGCCCCTATGATTCAGATGTTATTCCTTTTTAATCCATCACTGAGTTCTCTAATTCTTATAGTGTGCTTTTTTGCCTTATTTCCCTCTTTTTTCTGCTTCATTATTCTCCATAAGTTTGTCTTCTATATTGCTGGTTTGCTGCTCTGCTTCATCCATTCTTGCCACTGTGACATCCATTCAAGATTGCATCTCAGTTACTGCATTTTTAATCTCGTCCTGACTAGATTTTACTTCTTTTATCTCCGCAGGAAACAATTCTATGCTTTTTTCAACCCCAGCTAGTATTCCTGATTCTAAATTCTGGTTCAGACATCTTGCTTGTATCTGTGTTAAGTCCCTGGCTGTCATTTCTTCGTGTTCTTTCTTTTGGGGTGAATTCCTTTGTTTCATCATTTTGGAGGAAGAAAAAGAATAAAAACAACATACACACAAATCAAGTAAAGGAAGCTAGATCCTAGATGTATTTTGGTGTGGTTTGTTGAAAGTAGCTTGGTAAAATAGAGAAGGGAAAATAAAGAAAATGAAAAAAAGAAAACATTTAAAAATGTATACAATAACATAGGACAAAATGAAATGAGGTAGACTACAAAAAATAATAAAACTATCGTCAAAAATTTTTTAAAAATCTTTTTTATAAAACAAAATAAAAATAATTTTTTCTCTTTATCCATGAATAAGAAAAGACAAAATATGAATAGATGGACCAGTCAACAGAATGAAATTACATCTAGTTTCCCCAAGAAGTCAAACTGTGAAGCATTTTATAGTCCATACACTAAGTAGGGGGAGAAATTTGTGGTCGTCCTCTAGGGCTTGGTTGGCACAATTGGACGGGGCTTGGTGTAATGGCTCCATTCTCCACTAGGTGGCGCTGCTTAGCTTACTGGGGTGGATTGGTGTGGTGTGCATATGCGTGTATACATTTGTGCAGGGGAATCACCCAGCTTCCCAGGTTCTAGCATCAGAGCTGTGCTCTTTCCAACTGGCTATCAAGCATCCCTCCTTTGTCTCCAGCTTCCATCCACTTCCGCTTCTTCACTGTCCACCACCAAGCCATTAGCCGGCCAAGCAGCACCTCCCTCCCAAATTTTATCTCAGATGGTTCTGTGTTTCCAAACCCCTCACTTCTAATGGCCCTGTGGCTTGAACCCACTCTGACCCTCTAGGGGAGGGTGTCACCTAGCAATGGCTGGGTGCCGGCCTGCCTCCAGAAATGCTCCCACAAGCACACCACTTCACAGACTGTGTCCGGGTGCCAGCCCTCCCCAGAAAAATTTTGCATGATGGTGTAACAGCAGCGACCCAGGGACTAAGGGAAATCATAACACATATCTGGCTCCAGGCTTCACTGCACCCTAGCATCCTTTTTCCAACACCAGCAAACTTGTCTATAATCTGGGGTCCACTGGGACTTTTGCCTGTGGGGAGGTTTCACGGCCTCTACAAAATGTCCTCCTGGCAGGGGACCTGCTTCTCCCCATATGGCCCAAGGACCCTTCAGACCTCACTGTCTGCTCCTAGGGAATCATCCTTCCCACCAGAGCCCCACCAGGTATCAAGCTGTGGAGTTCCCAACTCTGTGCTCCCCTATTTATAGAGTCTTAATGGTATTGAAACCCTCTCCTTTTTCCCTTTATTGTTCAGTTCTTTGTGGGTATTTCCACTCTTTCTCTTTCTTTCTAGAGGCTTTTGGGGGGAGTGCTTTTCTTGTACTCTCCCCCCTGTCTTCACCCTGTCTCTGCAAACAAAAACAGCTCCCTACCCTCCATGACTTCTCTCTCCCCCAGTTCACCTCTCTGCACTGCTTACCTGCTGAGTTCTGTGGCTCTAGTTATGCATATTGTTGTGTTAGTCCTCAGCTCAATTTTCTAGGTGTGCAAAATGGTTTGGTGCTGATTGAGCTGCATTTCAGGAATGAAAGAAGCAGAGAATTTCCATGCTCCTCTGCCATTATGACACCTCCCTTTTTGCTCATTTTCTAATTTTTAACTATTGAGTTGAAAATTTTTTATATATTCCAAAAGTTTTATAGTTTTACATTTTCTACTTACGTCTGTAATCCATTTTGAGTTAGTATCTGTACAGGGTGTGTGGTTTAGGTCAATGTTTCTTGCAGAGGCTATCTTGCCTTCCCTGAATTGATTTTGTACCTTTGTCAAAAGTCACTCTGGGTCTATTTCTGGGGTTCTCTGTTAAATTCTCTGTCTCTCCACCAAGACCACATTGCTTTGATAACTGTGCTATATAGTGAGCCTTAATATCAGGTAGAAAATTCCCCCCACTTTATTATTTCTTTATCAAGATTCTAGGGCCTGTGGCTTTCCATATAAATTTTAGTATAAACTTAGCAATTTTCTACAGAAAATCTCCTGGTATTTTGATAGGAGTTGCACTAAGAGACTTCATTTCTTAAAGATACATACCTAAATACATATGAAAGAAGCCATGTCATTTTTAGGATTTTCTCCAAAATAATTTGGGATGGGTGAAAGTAGGTGAATGAATCTAGAGCTAGATGAACATGTTTGGACATAATAGTAAGTAATGTATCACTATGTATTCTTTTCTACTTTTGTATGTGTTTAACATTTTCCAAAATAAGGATTTTTAATTGCCTCATATTAAAAGGAATATTGTAAAGCTAAATTTTAAGCTTAAACTCCTGAAATATCTGAATTCTTAACTCTATTTTTTAAATAAGGTCTAAATTTAATATTCTCTCTCTCAGTCATTGTTATTTAATCAGTCCCTTTTGGAGGGTTTTATGTGGTCAGTTTCTAGAAAGGGAATCGATGTTTAGCCACATTGCACCAGGCTCGTAACCAGTGGTCATAACTGATACTTTGTTTCATATTCTAGGCACTGCTGAGAAAGATCTAGAAAGTGCTAAACTTGTACAGATTTTACACAGACTGCTAGCAGATGAGAGAAGTGCTCCTGAAATCAAATACAATTCCATGGTCCTGATTTGTGCTCTCATGGGATCTGGTAAATATTTCTTCTATCATTTTACATCTATCAACATATGGTTGACATTAAATATAGAATAGTCGTAAATGGTGGCTTTGGATTTTAAGAACATTAGAAATTAGTTTATGGAGGATATAGGATTACTTGAAAATATTTCAAAAAGATTATAATGAAAGTATCATATAGCAAATAGTCAAAAATCAGTGTTAAAAAAATAATACCTGTTTCATCAACTCAAATATTTCATATAAAGAACAAGTTCTGATTTTGTGTATCATGATATTAGCTAAGGGATTTGGTCAAGAAATCATTGGCATATCTTGGTATATGTTCCATGGACACTGAAAAGAATGTATATCCTGTTTATTGGGTGGAGTGTTCTTTAAAATGTCAGATCCTTTTGGTTGATGGTAGTGGAATTGAGTTTGCTATATTATTTTGATATTCTAACTAATTGTTCTGTCGTTGAGATAGGGGTGTTGAAATCTCCAAAAATAATGGTGGATTTATCTATTTCTCCTTTTAATTCTGTCAATTTTTGCTTCCCATATTTGTGTCTTCCTGGTGGATTGACATTTCTATTGTTATGTAATGTTCCTTTCCATCTCTGGTAATTTTTTGGTTTTGAAGTCTACTTTATCTGATATTAATATAGCTACTTCTACTTTCTTTTGAATAACATTCATGGGATCTTTTCCCACGCTTTTAGTTTCCATCTGCTTTATCATTATATTTGAAGTACAGTGTATTGTTAGGTTATGTGCTTTAATCTACTCTGTCAGTCTCTCTTAATTGTGTATTTAGTCCATTTACATTTATGTAATGACTGATGTTATGGCTTATGTCTGCAGTTTAATTTTTTTTATTTTCTGTTTGTTTCTCATTCATGGCTTCTTGTTGATTGCTTGAACATTTAGTTTCATTACCCTCTCTCATTTATAATTATCTAAGATATTCCTCTTACATATTTACAACAGCATTTAGACATTGTTACAACTTTTGTTTTCAACCTTCAAATATAATTCAGAAAACTCAAGAGAAAGAAAGTCTGTTGTATTTATTTACATCTTTGCTATATGTGTTGTTTTCCTTCTTTATGATCCAAGGTTCCTTTTCTTTTTTTAAAAAACATTTTCCTTCTATTTGGAGAACCTACTTTAGCCATTCTTTTGGGTTAGGTCTACTAGTGACAGATTTTCTTTGTTTTCTGTTATTTTAGAATGTCTTCATTTCCCCTTTTTGTGAAAAATATTTTCTCTGGGTATAGAATTCTGGGTTGACAGTTCTTTTCTCTCAACACTTGAAAAATGTGCCACTTTCATCTGGCCTCCATAGTTTAAGAAAAATTCAGTCTTCCTGTTATTTTTTTCCCTTGTTTGTAAGGTGTCATTTCAAGGGTTGGGGTTTTTTTTGGGGGGGGAGGAAGGGGTCTTTAATATTCAAGTTTGACCGTGATGTGTTTTGGCATGGATTTTTTTGGGGGTTTATTCTGTTTCAAGTTTTCTCACCTTCATGGTAGGCTTATGTCTTTTGCTAAACTTGGAAAGTTTTTTTAACCATATTTCTTCAGGTACTTTTTCATTCCTACTCTATTTCTCCTTTCCTTCCAGGTCTCTAGTGGCAGGAACGTGAGATCTTTAGTTATATCCCACAGGCCCCTGAATATTTCATTAAATTTTTCCCAGATTTTTCTCTTGTTCAAATTGGGTAATTTCTGTTGTTGTTAAAGTTCACTGATTTCTTTTATCCCTTCCATTCTACTCCACTCTGATTCGAAATTATCCAGTAAGTTTTTACTTCAAGTACTATAGTTTTGGGTCCTATAATACCCATTTGCTAGTTCTTTATGTCTTGTTCCCTTGCAGAGACTCTGTTATTGAGATTATTATATACATAAAGTTTACCATTATAACCATTTTTAAATGTACAGTGTACTGGCAGAGTAGTACATTCATACTGTTATACAACCATCACCACCATTGTTTTTCCCAAACTAAAACCCAGTACTCGTTAAAATATGTCACCAATCACCCATCCCCCAGCTTTTGGCACCTACCATTCTGTCTTCTGTCTCTGAGAATTTTATTACTCTAGGTACCTTACATAAGTGGAAACATGCAGTGTTTTTTTTTTTGTTTTTTTGTTTTTTTTTTTGGTCTGGCTTATTTCACTTAGCATAATGTCTCCAAGCTCACCCATGTTGTAACCTGTGTCAGAATTTCATTCTTCTTAAGGCTGAATAATTTTCCATTGTATACATGTATTACATTTTGTTTATTCATTCATCCATCAATGGACATTTGGGTTATTTACACCTTTGGGCTATTGTAAATAATGCCACTATAAAAACGCTGGTGCACTAATATCTTTTTCAGGCCCTGCTTTTAGTTATTTTGGGTATGTACACAGAAATGGAATTGTTAAATCATACAGTAATGCCAAGTTTAATTTTGGGGGAAACCATCACCCACAGGGGCTGCAACATATTACATTCCTACAAGCAATGCACATGGGTTTCAATTTCTCTACATTCTACCATTTATTGTTTTGTTTTTTCTGTAATAGCCATCCTGAGGAGTCTGAGGTGGTATCAAATTGTGCTTTTGATTTGCATTTCCCTAACAGTGACATTGAGGATCTTTTCATGTGTTCATTACCCATTTGTTTTTCTTCTTTGGGGCATGTCTATTCAAGTCCTTTGCCCATTTTTTAATAGGGTCATTTTGTGTTGAGTTGAAAAGGTTCTTTGTATGTTTAGGATATTAATCTTTTATTGGATATATCATTTGCAAATGTTTTCTTCCATTCTGTGGGTTGCCTTTTCACTCTATTGGTAGTATACTTTGGTACACAGAAGTTCCTAATTTTGATGAAGTCCAGTATATCTGTTTTTCCTTTTGTTGCCTGTGTTTTCTGATGCATATCCAAGGTCATCCTTGCTAACTCCAATGTCATTTCCCTTTCTATTTTAAGTCTTAACAGTTTTAGTTCTTAAATTTAACTTTTGTATATAAGGGCTTGTGGCTCTCCAATTTTACCAGTACCATTTGTTGTAAAAACTGTCCTTTCATCATTGAATGGTCTTGACATCTTTGTCAAAAATATTTTGACTACATATATGAGGGTTTATTTCTGGGATCTCTGCTTTATTCTGTTGGGGTGTGGGTGTGTATATGGTAAAGACAGCACCACACTGATTTGATTATTATAGATCTATAACAGGTTTTAAATTAGAAAGTGTGAGACCTCCAACTTTGTTCTTTTTTGAGATTGTTTTAGATATTGAGAGTCCTTTGAAATTCCATCTGTATTTTAGGATGTGTTTTTCTATTTCTATTAAAAACATTATTTACAATAAGACCGCAAGTCTTCTTAATGTAAATATATCAATTTAAGGAATGCTGATTACATTAAACTTACTAGACCTCAGTCTTCTCATTTGCAGTCTCAAAGTCTTAAGAAGAGCCTTGTATTTTCCTGTAATTGAGGTTAAATAGAGCAAGAAAGCCAGAAAGAGGATGATCAGGAATAAAAAAGGGAAGCCTGTTGACACAGAAATTTGTTGAAGGGATGTGAAATACAACCTATTCATTTGCCATAAAATTAATTTGAAACAGATCTGAGATTTTTTTTTTTAAGTCATCGACTTCATATTTGAACTGATGATAGAGTCAAGGGGTATATAACTGAAACTTGAGATCATACAATGAGCTGTGTTTCATTATAACTCATTACCCTAATCAAACTTAGACTATAGAACTTGACATTTGATTTATCTATGTATAAATATGGCAAGTAAAGTTCCTTTGATTTTTTATAACACATCTATAAAGAAGACATTTCTAGGCTACTGCTGTGCCCAACCTTGTCTTTAAAAGTGTCTTAGCATTTCTAGGCTACTACAGTTTTTTCAAAATATTATCTAAATAAACATTTTGGGTATATGTATTGGATAGACTGTATAGTAAGATTAGAACAGTTTAACAGAAGCATCTCTGTTATCTTGTTTTTTTGTCTTCCAGAATCTCTACACAAGGAAGTACAGGATTTGGCCTTTCTAGATGTTGTATCCAAACTTCGCAGTCATGAGAACAAAAGTGTTGCCCAACAGGCCTCTCTCACAGAGCAGAGACTTACTGTGGAAAGCTGAGAACCGCCCTTCCCTGACACACAGCATCATCCCACCTCTGATTTCCCTTGTCCTCCCATCCAGCTGCCTCTTCTGCTTCATTTTCTTCCATATCACTTGTGCATGCGTGTAATGTTCCCGTACCAATTGAAGAACTGCTGTAGGTACCTGCCCAATAAGATTTCTAAACCCATAGTTAGTGTGAACATGAATTTGTCAAAAACAAGTCTCCACCCCATAACTGTTCTCTTGTATTCCTGTTGCTTGAGCTACATTAAGTAGAATGTGCATGTTGTAGTCCTATGATGATGTAAACTTGGTACTACATAATGACTTGCTCCTCACACTTGGTAAACTACATAATAATGTACTGGTAAATTAGAAACAAACAAGAATGCAGCAGGATCTGTCTAGCTTATTAAAGATGGAATTGAATAGTAAAAATAGCTCCATTTTTTGGTGCTTGGGAAGCACAGTGACCAAAAAACTGTATGGCTGCTCATTCATTAGAGTTACTTACTAATGTCAAACCATGGTACCTAGAGTTAAATAAAATCCAATGCTCTCACTCTTTACCCTATGGTTTCTCCTTCTTCTTAACTATGTAGACTCTTGAAATTGCCACAAACTTGGCAAGACTTCTCTGAGGTTTTTAAATTTCATATTTAATTGGCTATCATCAGTAGCCTGATATTGAAAACATTTGTGGTTTTCAGCATGAGACTAAGGGGCTGAAGAATCTATTTTACACTAAGTACATCTTTTTTTTTCCTCTATATTTTAGAATCTGATATAGTTTGACCTCAGCATTTCTTCTATCAATTAATCAGCGTCGTCCAACACTTGTCTTTAAAAGTCACTTGGCATTTGTTTTCACCTAAGGAAATTGAGTATAGTTCATCGGAGGGTAGTTCTTTTGGGGGGTTTTTTGGTTTTTCTTGGCTGTTTTTCATCATTCAGCTTGAAAGCAAGACATTTCCCCTGTTATAATCCTTTTAAACCTTCTAGTAGAACTAGCAGGACATAGGAAACATGATTAAGAAAATAGAAGTAGCAGTACAGAGAATAAAAGATTAAGAAAGAAGTTTGTCTATACTAAAGAAAGGAAGCAGGTTATAAAAGCCATAGTAGCCAGTCCAGTTCATTCTGCAGATGGCCTCATACCAAGTAGCTGTTAGAGTGTCCCACCTCCATTTGCCACAGAGAACTGCAATAGATCTTAAAGCTATCAGAAAAGGTGACAACGCCAAGACCCAAGAGATGAGAAGACCCTCTTGGCGAAATATAGTGTATTCTTCACTGCCACTACTACCACCAAATGGGTTTTTAGAACTTTGAAACACAATCTTTGTAAATCAAAAGATCCTTGTGACATACCTGTCTTGTCCCCATGCACAAGTTTGACAAATACTGGCTGAAAGGTACGATGATGGGCTCCAATATGGAAGGACTGCAGGACAGTAGAATGGGCTGCCCGGGGTGACAGAAGCTCTTTCCTGTCCAATGGGAGATGCTGCACATATCTATGGAGTAATTGAAGTTGGACTTTTGACTCAGAAACAGCTATAATTCAAGAAAATTAAAACCTCAGTGGAGGTAAAGAAACTTTGTTCCCTTTGATGTCCAGAAAAGGAACGATTATTGTGAGTGCTTATGCTACACTTACTGTAAGAATGATCTTGTTTATTGTCTTCTTCTGGGCTGGATAGTGGACTATATTTTATTATAGGTTTTGAAAAACATCTGTAATGTTGAATAGGCTATCCATATTAATAACTAAATAAATAAATAGTATATCAAACTATTATGGCATCATTTGGTTTGTTTGTATATTTTACTTCTATTTTCAGCTCCTAGAACAGTAATTGCTCGTTGGTGCTAAGTATTTGTTGATGAATTCCCATTTACATAGAGAAATTGAGATTTAGGTGTTTTTGTCTGGCTTCCAAGAATATCTTTTATAGGATCTGTCCCTATTGAAAAGCAGCATATAGAAAACCTCAAGTCAGAGGCATCCAAAAGTTACAGATTTAAGAGAAGCTATCATCTGGGCCACCTACCAGCAATCCATTGATACACTAGGAATTCCCATCTGCAGCAAAACAAAGTACATTTCTAATCACCAGTCTTTCTACAGCGAGACCAGAAGGCTGTGCCCTTATGATAACAGACGTCCACCAAACTGGGTGACGTGCTGCTCTGCCAGGGCAGGAGGTGGGAGTCTACAGACAATACTATACCATATATCTTGCTACTTCATCTTAGTTCTAGAGGCCACATTTAAATGTTTGCTACCCATTAAACATGCATTCTGAGGGAGACAATGGGAGGAACCGCCTGGCATAGCATTAATTATTGCTGTGTCAGGATTAGAGCATAGCTGAAAAGCAAAAAGGCCAGGAATTAGAAGGAAGATGATGTCTGAGTGAAATGCGCTAAAATGTCTTCTCTCCCTCCTGGGAAGGAAGCCCATTACCTCCTTGGGATCTTGCTAACCCCCCACCCCCACCCTAAGACTAACCTCATTGTGCTCAAAGCAAAACTAATTAAATGCTGGTCCATAATTCAGTGTTTTCAACTTGATAAAACATGGTTTGTGCATATTATCTGATAACCATGGGGATGTAGACAAAGTTTTTTGGTTGTGAAATGATTTTGACTTGGACCAAAATGCAGCTCTTAAATATAAGCATTAGTGTGAAGTGTTCTGAGAAACCCTGCATGTGAAGATTTCAAACAGAAATGCTCTTTGGTGTCATTAGAAAGCTTATTATCTAATTCTGAATATGAGGGATGAAAATGTCTGTTAGGTAAGTTTTACCCCCTTTGTGTTCAGCTGTTAACTAGAATCAGTAAGCTTTAAAGTCATAACTCTAGGCAACCATAATATTTGAATTATACAAGTATCTTTTAAAAAACACTCAATGATATTTGGGATGAATCTTCATAGCTGTAACCAGGAAAATTGAGGGTTTTTTTTTTTTTTTTT